GACTATGTCGTTAAGCTCTTTATAGGTCTTTTCTGAGCATGCGCATTCATTATGCCAGTTTTCCTAGAAAGAAAATTGCCGTAGGACTTGGTCAAAACCCAGCAGGTGAAACAATAAACTAAGCAGCTTTGTTTTAAAAGGAAAACTTATAAAAATAAATTAAAAGAATTGAAACTGGACAGTGGGTTCCTTTTAAATACTTTGTGGAGTTCCAACTCTGTAGAAATTCGGAGTTGGTTCGCACAGTTGAGCGAGGTTTCGAGAAAGTGCGAAAAGTACGTGAAAATATTATGAGGACATTCTGTGGATATTTTAAGAGTATTTTCAGGACGTGGATAGTTTGTGTATTCTCTGCCAAGGTGGAAGTAAACAACTGATAAGTGGAAATTCTAAAAATTGCATAGTTTTCTTGCTGTTTCGCAACCTTTACAGACATAGAAGTAAGATCGATACAACCGCTTTGCCAAAAACCAAAAAAAGTTTAGCATTGTATTTTAAAATAATAGAATCTATATATTAGAAAGAAAAAAATATATTTTAAAATTAAAGTAAGTATTACCCTGTTTCTTTTTTTTTTTCATTTCTAAACCGCTGGGAGAAACAAACCACTTCCTACATGCCGAGAGAAAAATTTGAAAAATGACGATATAGCCAAATAATACCTTGTTGTAGTCGAACTGTTGTTTTGTTTTGTTTTTTTCCTGTCCTCCACGTTATTTATCCAAAATAAAACAATAAAAAACGACCAGCACTCGTGATAGCCAAAACAGTAATTGTATGAGTACTAATTGTTCCTGATATCAATCCTTTAAGACTTATTTTGCCCGAAAAACAACTGGATTTCATTGTTCCAGCCAATAGGAAAACGAAAAGACATGTGACGACTTTCAATTGGCTTCCTCTCCAAATTTGAAATTAATATATTCCAGTTTTACGCTATTGTTTATCTCTTTGGCAATTAAGAACCGTGTTAACAATGTGAACTTAGAATTTAAATGCATTAACTCTTTTAAAACATTGTTTTAATTTCTTCAATTTCAATTCTAAAAACATACTCATAACATTTGATGCCAATCATAAATTTTATTAGTGATCTACGTTTATTATTGTCATACGCTATCACTGAGAAGTTATTTGCACTCGATTTGGAAGCCAATCTCTTTATTAAAATTGGCAAACAATGTTTTATTAAAATACGATGCAAGACTGTTGACTCTTTATCATTTGTAAGCACTGTCACTTTTGGCGACGATGAATGAATATTTGAAAAAAATAAAGGAAAAAGGAAAAAGTTAATCTTCAGCTTAAAAAATTACTGACATTTAGAATATTTTTTCAGCGCAGTTTCCAAAGAGAAATTTCTATGGAATATCTATGACACCTGGATATACCATAAAAGCATTTTCTGTCTAATTCTCATTTACTCGACTAGTTAACTCTATTGTTTGTGATGGTAATTTCCTGGCCATTTTCTTTCATTATTAATGAATTCTACCCAGAGTGACATAAAGAAGATTATAAATTATTTGGCCGTTTTAGTGTCATTATTGGTCCAATATCTTCAATGGGATGATGCATGTTTTTCTCGCATAGAGAATATTAATCATCTACCGTTAAAACGGATAAAAAGGTAGTGCAGATTTTTCTATGTTGCATCAAAGATTCCTTATTTCCAACAAGATTGGAAAGCCTCTTAAAGCTTTATTCTGAAAATACATACAGACAAAATGGGAATGTGGCTTCTTTGTACATGTATAGTTACTTCAGGAAAGGTTTTCTTTCAACTATAGACACGACCGCTGTCATCTCTACTAAAATTTAAGCTATTAAACAGGCGTAAATTGAAAATAAATTTTAAAATATTCGCTCATTGTTAGCAGATGTAAACAAACTAAAGGAATCTTGTTTCGCAACTTTTTTAGTGTGTTTTTGCTTCTCGCGAAAAAAAAAGGACTTTTTAAAATCTTTATAAACAAGATTTCATTGGCCATAAACGAAACGTAATGGTGAAAAAGATTTCGGTTTCATAAAATGTTTGCAGTTTTTAATGATAAGACTGCCTTCCCTCAATACTTGACCGTTTTCCTTGACTGTGTTTGAAGGTTTTTGTTGAAAGCATAGGGAAGGCGTTGGATTAAAATTAATAGATATGATGAGCTTTTGTAAAATTACCTTGAATGTGTGGTTTTACTTTTCGTCAGTGAAGTTACCCCTTGCCTTGAAAATGAGGCCTTTATGCTTCACCTGGCAAAATCGATATTCAATGTTAGGATTTGTTGGGATCCTTTTTATATGAAAATGTCAGGGTAATGAATGTTAAAATCAATTGACAATAATTTACAGAAATTTGGTGTGGTTCCGCTAGAAATATATGGTCACCCTGAAGGATCATTCAAGACAGATAAGAGACCTGTGGTGAACTTGTTTGTTGGCGGTACCAATTGAACTCAAGGGACAACTAAAAGCAATACCATGCTGGGCAATATACTGACTGAAATAAGAGTATTAATTAAAGGAAATATTGACACAGACTAATAAGAAACCTACGGGTTTTAATAAGCAGTTGATTTAAGTCCTTGGAAAACCCGTGGAGAAATGATTTACTAGTCTCGATTTGTCCGCCAAATTTTGTCAAAAATGCCCTAAACGAACAAGGGTTTCTATTCACGGCTTTGTTTTCACAACAATATGACTTTAACTCATATGTTATATTGCACTCGTTAGCACTTTCAATCACAATTATWAAAAAAATCATTTATTATAATTAATATTGCCATAGTAATTTCAAAAGATTTGCATTTTTAACATTTCGGTTACTTCAAAGATGGAGGAAAAGGATCAAGTGTTGTCACTTTAGTTTTACCCTGTTGGTAACTTTTTCCCGCTAAAATTAAAGACGCGTGCGTTTTCAACAACAAGTACATTTTCCCGCCAAAAAGGACATTTTTGTTGAGTAATTATAAACGTCACATAAAATTTTCATAAATATTCTGCAAAGAAAATTTTTGCTATCGCAAAATAATACTCGAAAAAGGAGGCAACTAATTTTTTTTTTCTTTTCCTCAAGAAGGTGTTTTTATTATGGTATTTGTTTCTTCCAGATAATTTTTTTCAAACCGGTGGTGTTAGTGTCAAGAAGCTTAATCTATTATAACCAATACTGCACGAATAACGTTATTATCCTCTCTAAAAGAGATCTTGAAGATTGATAATAATTATTAATTACTATACAGGTTAAAAAGAATTACGAAAAAGAAGGTTTTTCTTTGTCAATATTTGATGTGCTTTTCTCTTAGGAAATTAAAATTTTGGTTCTGATTTTAAYAAGAACAGATTAAAAAAACGCTTGGAACCAGCATATTGAAACTATTGTAATGATGAGTTTAAAAAAAAGCTAGAAGTGAAACCATGCTTGAAAAAAAATAGATAGAATAATGAATATTCAGTAACAGTAAACCGAAAAAAATTACGGAGACATAATGGAAGTTTAAACCCTTATAACGCTTTATAGTGACAGATGAAACATTTGAGATAAACAAAGTTGTTATGTATCTTGTTTGGCTGGTGTATTAAAACTCATTTTCCGAATGTTACACAAGATGAAACGATATTCCAAAAAGGTCCTGTTTCTTCGCTCTTCTTGAAATACCCAGAAAAACTACCATTTCTTTGACATAGTTTTTTTAATCTACAATTAGTATTTTGTTCACTTTTAATAATGAAGAAATAGAAAACGTTTGCGCGTGCTGTGTGCAGTTATAAAGCACGCTGGGATAGATAGAACAAGACAGAAGTGTTAGGAGAAGCACGACGCGTAGTGGAATGCTTCTCGACACTTCTCGAGTGTTCTGCCAATCCCCAAGTGCTTTATAACTCCGCACAGCACAGCACAGCAAGCAAGTTTTTTTGTTTCTTTCATAAAATGCAAAGGGCGTGTGGTGCTGTGTGCTCTCATACATACAGCACGCGCTCTCAACCAATCAGAATGCGAAATTTTTAATATTTATTTTATAATTTGTTGTAAATTAATTTTGAAAAACCCCTTGGGGTAAGTTAATGAAGCCAAGAGGGTATAATATATTTATGCTCTCTTGATAAAGCGTTTATTGTAGTGCGGACTGAGTTGAATTTTGCTCCTTGTGGGAGGGGAAAAAACGTAGAAAGCGGGGTGAAGCATATTGAGGAGAGAACCACTAGCAAACAGCTCTGTTCACATTCGACACCAAGCATTAAAGCAAAATTCACAGCACGAGAACTTGAGAGTATCCTTTTATACTGAATATGATAAGCTTTATCAAGAGAGCATAAATATATTATACTCTCTTGGCTTTATTAATTTACCCCAAGGGGTTTTTCAGAATTAATTTACAATAAGAATAAGTTGGTTTTCGTTTTTTTCTTTTTCTTTTCTTTCTTCCAGTTTTTGTTATCATCTTTAAGCTATAAATTTTGGATGAATTATAGTTGAGCAAACAAAGTAAAAGAAATGAAAGATAGGAAAAGAGAAATTCGTAAACAAAGAATGAAACCCGCTAAAAATTATACGAGGAAAATAAGAAAGAACCGGAAAAAAAATACAACTGTCTCTAAGGGTCGCCTATTGAAGTGACTAACCCGCTCAATCGGGCATGACTCGCTGTTTCAGAAGTCCGGGTCTCTTTCCCCACATTGGGCTACGGTTCTGCCATGAAGTTAGCACAACTGGCAATGCTTAAAAAGGATGCACCGAATTATTTTCCATTTCCCTTTTTTAGCCATTTCGAGGTACGATGAGCGAAAAACTGGTTCAGTTTGCGGATTTATATATAAATCTATCAGTACGGTTCTCTCAGTTAGCACCAGCTTATCACCGCATGCCAGGTTCCGGTTTGGGCCAAGTTACAGCGACCGTGAACTAGTTTTCATTACCTAGTATTTCTTACAATAGTTAAAATTAAGGATGTTACAATAAGCTTTCCTATGTTGATACGACGCTTATCATACCTTCCGTTCCCCTACAGGAGCATTGTTCAATGGACCTTGTGGGCGCCAAAACTTCCCATAACAGATGAAAAACTGTGAACCAGGACAGGAAGAGGCACGAACGACCCTCAAAGGTAGCGATTCCACTTTCGATTGAATTATCAAAAAAAAATTAACAAGTTTTTTGCAGTTCTCTTATCTCTACATATAAGGACATAAATGTTGATTCAAGTAGTTCTTAAGAGTACTTAAGACTAAGAGGACATAAACTTGAATCACAGACGTTTCTAGAGCAGTTCAAAACGAGTGGTCCATAAGACTATGTCCAAAGCGATAAAATATAACAATAAACACGGGATTTATGAAAATTAACCGCTAATTATAATCACGTATACAATACTGAAGTTTTAAACACGAACTTGAAAGAAAATCTTCAGTTTTGTTTTCAAGTTTTACAACGGTTCATAAACGAAAGCTTATTCAAATTGTATGAATTATTTACACGAACAAAAAACTAGATAATTCCGTTACACTGAAGCCGAAAGATCGGGTCAAGGTTGAGCCCTCGCTGTAGACATACGGTACTAACCTCAGACGATTTACTACGACCATACAATAGTTCGATCTTTGGCCCAGGTCACGTATCTTATAAAGTACATCAGAAGAGAAGTGATATATGAATAAATCTTGATGTTTGGTTGGTACAAGCTTGGTAAAGATTTTACTGCACGACTACTTAACGTGTTATTGCGGCTTCAAGAACTTTCGTACACTTGAGTTGTTATCTGTGTAACAATAGACCTAATAGCCGCTAAGCTGATCCAATGTTTGGACTCTTTCCAAGCTAAAGTCTTAATCCTCCTGCACACAAGGCGCATGTGAACAACAGACGGGCCATGTCAACCCAAACAAAAAAGAGCTAATTTCGTATTTTTAAAGAGGTATTCCTATAATGTCGCGCAAACAACCACCATGACGAAAGCATAGAAAACTTAGGCCCATTTTTGAATGTCTTTGGATACATTTTGGCCGTAAGTTTGTAAACCTTTTCTAAATCTTCATAATCCATGGATGATTAGGGAAAAGCACGAAATAAGCTTTAATTACTTTTAACAAACATATGTTGACCATGGAGTCTTAGACGTTTGGATTAGCTGGCACTAGCTATCAGTCACTTTCCGACCAAACAAAAACCTTTGTAAACAGTTTTTCTGCTTTCTAAAGAAACTGGTAATACTGCTTTGGGCTTTGTTTAGAGTAGAAATAAAAAAATCAACTTTGGAAACGAACTTTGCTGTAAAATATTCAAAACTAAACGGTAATAATTTCCGAATAATTTTAAAGGATTGTAGCTTAGACCATGATAAGGTGATAGATAAATTGGGCTGGAAGAGTCTTCGAAATAGATGTTCAATTCATAAGCTTATTTTTATTTTTAAGTGCTTAAATGGCATTGCACCTGAGATTTTTAATGGTTACTTTAATTATGT